AAACACACCTGCTTGCAAAATGCAGAGAACATCTGCTGCCTCCTCCAGGTACACAGGACTCTCAAAGAGCTCAGAAGATTTGAGGAAAAATTCACCATTTGATTCTGACACCTGCAAGAGAACATTTATCATCAGTGAACAGGTTTTATGGAGCAATTTGTCTAAATCTGTTTTAAATTCAGCATCTTTAGTAGATTAAAAACTGCCAAGAACATAAAGTTATCAACACAGAACAAGCAGGAAAAGTTTGTAGAATAAGAAATATTTACTACTGGAAATACTTCAACACAGATGGTACCATTGCTTCTTTTCAGAAGAAAGAAAAACAGCCCACTGACATTCTAAGTTTACACAAGGAAAACAAAATGTTTGGTGAGAAAGGAAGTGGGGGAAGAGAAATATGATGGTTAATACCACACTGCAGTAGGGGCAAAGAATGGGATGGAGAAAAGTCAGCACTTCATTTCCAAAGTGACAGATCACCAATGACAGATCACCCAATCACATTACGTCTGGGTACAGAATCTCTATATTATAGAGTCTGTATAACATCAGCAAAGACTTCCTTCAGGAAGTCATAAAGAGTTTAAACACAAGCCACTGTTCAATCAGACTAAGACTTTGAATCTTGATACAGCAGGTAAGGACTGGAGAAGAAGCAGCAGCACCAGAAGCACACCAGTGTGTCAGCCATTCCAGAGAGGAACCTAAATCTCACAAATATCCACCGATGGGGAAGTTCACCTTGTTCATAATGGCCAGCAACTCACTGAGCACCAGCCGGAGCCGCCGAGGAGAGTCACTGTGCTCAAATTCCAGCGTCAGCCCGTGCTGCAGCTGTGACACCAAGATGCTTTCCCCACTGCCACCTCCCAGCTTGTGCCTGGCACACAATTCAAAACAATAAGTGTTAAAACGTTTCCGCAAAGACAGAAATGCTTCTGGTTAAAGGATGCGCCAGTTCCCTAGGGATCTCTTCTATCCCTTAAAGACTGTTGTAGTTGCAGTACAAGACAGCTAATTCAGTACATTATCGAAGTTTCAAGCGCTTCTATTCCCCGGCAGCACAGAGAGTCAGGAAAGCGCATCCACCTGAGCTGTCCCTTCATCCCACAGAGCCATCCCAGCCCTTCCCTGCCGGGGCAACTCCCCCAGAGCACCCCACAGCTCCGCAGATCCCAGCACACACAACAAACCCCGGGGCTTTCCTAGAGAGCATCGAGAGACACGAATGGCCGGCTCCGTCCGGCGCTTCAACAGCTGGAACAGCTGGAACAGCCACACAGCGCTTCCGCCACAGATCCCCGTTCTCCGCCTTACCGGAGTTGCTGCTCCTTGCTGGCGTCCTGCTCCAGGGCGTGGAAGTCCACGGAGAGCAGCGCCACGATGGAATTGACCGCCTCGACCCCCGAGAGCAGCCGCAGGATCAGCTTCTTGTCCTGCGCCCAGCTCTGGCTCTGGTCGGCGGGCGCGCACAACGCCATGCGCACGAGGCAGGGCAGCAGCAGCCGCAGCTCGGGGTCGCTCAGCGCGGCCAGGCGCACCACGTCCACCTTCTGCATCGCCTCGAAGGCGTAGGGGCTGACGAACTGCAGCGCCGAGCACTCGGACATGGCGGCGGCAGCGGCTCCCTCACGGCCCCCGCGCCCACCCGCCGCCGCCGCCACTACCGGGGGAAGCGGGAAGTGACGTCACGGCGGGAGGGGCGGGGAGGGCTGAGGGGCGGAAAGGGAGAGGCGGGAAAGGCTGAGGGGCACCGCCCTGCCCGCCCCCTCAATAAACCCACAGCACAATCAAGGCTTCATGAATAATTTATTCCATTTGAATTTTTTTGTTTTTTTAAAAAGTATAAACCTTTTTTTTTTTCTTCATTTCCTCGATCACAATTTGTACAACTCAGTGTTTATGGCATTCGGCAGAAATAGTGTTTGTTCCTTAAATCGCGTTTTGTTTCTGTGTTTTGTCACGATGAATGCGGCGGCGGCTCGGCCGAGGGCACATGGCGGCGGCTGTGCGAGGCTCCCGGGCACATCCAGCCGTGCCTGAGGGCGGCGGGAGCGGCTCCCTGACCTGTCCAGCCACGCCAGAGCGGCGCTGAAGCAGCTCCCGGACCTGTCCAGCGCGGTGTCGGAGCAGCTCCCCGGTGTGTCCAGCTGCGGTGTTGGGATTGCCCGTGTGTCCAGCCATGGCAGCGGGGTGGCGGAGCTGCTCCCCGGTGTGTCCAGCCGTGCCCTGAGGGCGCGGGAGCGGCTCCCGCTGTGTCCGGCCGTGCTGAGGGGCGCCATGTCCATCACAAGCCCAAGGCAGCGCTCGGCAAGGTCCTCACGTCCAGTTGACTCGGAAAAACCTAAAGCTCGATGAGTAGCATCCTGAAAAAGTGACCCTGAGGATTGTGGTAGGTCCCAAATCCAGTTTTACTGTAAATTAAGCTTTACTCCACTGAAAATAAAAAGTACACCCACAAATAATAGTAAAAAAACCCTTTAAGTACGAAGCATAGTCCTGGGCCCTTTACTTAAAAAAAAAAATTAAAAAAAAAATAAAACAAACAAAATCACCTTCCCAGCTGGAGGTTGCGAGACAGTAACGTTGTACAATGTCACCCATGAATGAATTCTCCAATGAAACCCAGATGAAAACAAGGTTGATGCAGCATTACTATCCCAACAGACTGATATGCAGTGCCGTACTGTTGTGCAGCAAATTATATGGTGCAATAGCATTTTTTTTAAATGTTTTACTCTTATTCTTGAAAGCTTTAAAATAATGCAACATAATATTTTGATATTACAGTATTAACAAATAGTGCTTGATTAAAGACATCGGCAAGTCTTCATAGCAACACACAAAGTTAAAATTACCGTCAGAAGTAAATATAGAAATACAATAATCTGCGCCATAACTGACAGCTAAGTAAGAACATAGCTGAGGATTTAAATATAAATCCATTTATCTTTAATTATTTCAGAGAATGTTAGAAAGATCTAAATGTTACAGCTCCTTTTAAAATGTGAGGGTTGTTACAAGTACAGCTGGTGGCCTTGCTGGTCTTAGCAACAGGGTTTTCAGAAATCAAATCCAAATAGTAGTGAGTCAAATGTGACTAAAAGTCTTAAATGCAGTAATATCTGGGTTAAAATATGTATTTTTAATTGGAATGGAAGGATCTCAGCTTCTTCTTTCCTTGAAAGAGATAAACCTCCACAGCTACTTAAAGCACTGACAGGAACAACATTTTCTTGCAAGGCCGTTTTGAAAATCTGTAGCTGAAATTTTCAACTACTTAAGCTTGTGCTTGCTAAACAACCTCGACTTCTTGGATTCTGACAATTTTATTTATAAACCAGCTATTATGTGCACTTAAAATAGTTAAATGAAAGTAGCTAACAAAAAAAGTATGCCCAATATAATAGTTGGCTCCGTGGTGCTGGCAGGTTTGATATGTACATTGCTGGCTGTGACTATCACTCCAGAAATGGCCCTTCTAGTCTTTTATAGTGGTTATAATATTATAATTTACTTCAATTGCATTTGATGGGGGGGAGGAGTGGGAGACTGGCAGCTTTCACAGTAGGAGTTTCACAGGGAAGGCTGGTCCAGGTAACAGAATACAGTTACACCAACGTTCAGGCAGCTGATTCACTTACCTTTAGGAATACAAGTTCAGATTGAACACAAAACAAAGCCACACCAAAACCCAGCCCTTGGAGCTTGGTTAACTGAGCCAGGCTTAGAAATGACCACTTAGCAACAAAGCTCAAAAGAAAAAGGACATACACTTTGAAAATTCCAGTTTTAGGAGCACTTTTCCACATCTAAAATGCCAACCAAATGAGAAAACCCTTCTGTAAGACAATAATGTGCCGTTTAATCTGCGGTGCATTACCGAGATAAAGTCATGGACAGACCCAGTTTTTTACTCTATTTATCAAAATATGCTAACTTCTGATTGCACTCATGTTGTTCTGAAGAAATGACTGAAAATTCTCATCACCAATTGTACAACTTCTTTATACAAAACCAAAAAAGTTGCTAATATTGTATGTACACGATTCAGTGAGACTGTTCATACGAAAAAAAAAATCACCTCAGGCAGGTCTTTTGCATTTACAAAACGAGATTTTCATGAGCACAGTAAGTTTGGTAAATGCAAGCAAATTCTTCCTTGTAGAGGGGTTAACAGCAGGTGCACAAATGGATCTTAAAAGTTGCTCCTTTACAGGTTTAAACCAGCGAGACAGACAATATTAAGACCCAGGACTTGGGTTATCGTGACAGGCTCCTGGGAGCGCTGCAGGAGTTCAGTTTTTCATCTGGCAGTCAGATAAGGAACCCACAAAAAGCATCTGCAGCTGCTCTTCAGCACCCGTAGGGGCTATTTTAGAGCAGCCACAGACATTTGGCATGTGCTAGGAAAAAAGGAAGGAAACTACTGAGAAAAAGTGGTGACTATAGATAGAGGGGGACGTTTAGGAAAGCCTTGTGGTTTGTCAGTCCCTTCCTTGGGGAGGGCAAAGCCTCCTTGGCACATGCCCCAGCCAGAGCCTGAAAATGGGATATGGGGAAGGCCATGCACTGATACTTGGGACCTTCACCACAGTGCCAAAAATACATAGAAAAGGAAAATGTTCAGGGTTTCGTGCTGTTTTTTTACTAGTGGAATAAAATCTGAATACCAGAATTCACTGAGAATCTATATACACCACATTTTAGTTAAACACACACCAATCTTAAAGTCAAGATTGACTATTTTTGCATTTGTAAAATGGCTAGAGCTGGGCTAAATCTCAGCCTGGCAGGAGACTTTGGATAAGGTCAGAGTTTTCTGTGTGTTCTGCCTCAGATTGGCATTTTATCACAAAAGTGGAAGCAAACAATGCAGTGAGCACAGTGCCAAGAATATCCAGGGAGCAACAATGCACAAGAGATGTTCTTGTGATATTAAAACTCGTGTCCTGGAAGTGGATCTGAGAATCTAGCCACAGCCCTGAACCATAACACAAACTTCTGCTGAAGAGTTTATTCATGTTATTCTCACTACAAGTTAAACCACCTACAATATCACTTATATATTGCCATTGTTACTCTGGAAAGGTGTGATATAAAATGCTGTAAGACCCGGTACCTTTTCAATTTATATAAACACAGTGAACTTCATTACTGTACATGTACTCTGCAACTACAGCTTAGCTGTAAATCCCCCACACACAATGGTATGGACATTAACCCCTCTATCCCCATTAAACTGTACATCAAGACAATACAAATTTACTGTCCCCACCCACCCCTTACAAAAAAATAATACTCTAAAAGCAACCTACTGCAACTTTTAATTAAGACGATTACATATATTTTAGACCAATTGCTTTAAAGCAAGAAGGCAGTATAAACCTTCTAGGAAAATTTTTATAAAAGAGGTTAAGAAATATAAGACAATTTATACATTTAAAAACTTACAATAAATAAGAGATGCAGGCATTTTTGAATACTAAGTACTATAATCCAATACAAGAACATCGTGATGTTCTGAAGCCATAGGTTGAAACTTAATTGTTCCTCATGTTTCTTCTCATCTCCATGCTTTTAAAATTCATTAACCATGACTGGGTACTATGGCTCATTACTCTTCACAAATACTGTGGCTGGGGAAAATGGTTAATTTTGCTACTAAAAACGTTATAATACACTTTCTGATCATCATTCTGAAGCGTCCCCCATAGTCAGTGACTCAAGGACAGCAAGATGGGTGCCCCTCTCACAAGTCAGAACAATATTTGCTGGAAGTAACAAGATTCATACCCCATCACAAACAACTTGCACTGAGAAGAATTATAACTTAGTCCTGCAGTGAAATATCCCTTTTCCTCATTTTTGTCTTGCAAAATTCAGATGAAGATCACAGCATATTCATGATAAAGTTATACAACTGATTCAGCACCACAAAATGAATTGGGAGACATGACCGTCTGTCCTGGGTTGCAGGATCACAGGTTAGCCAGGAGAGTGCATTGTACTGTTCCAGAACAAACCTGAAAAACAAACAGCCTTCTGTCAGGCCAGCACATCTTCTCACCAGGATTTTACAGCCCTAATTTACTAGAATCCAGCTTCTTTGGCATCAAAAACATAAAATAGGTTTGCCAACACTCAGAAATTATATATCTTCCAAATTATTACAGCAGTTCAGAGCTAAACTTGCTTTTGGTGGAAAACTGTCATTGTAATTGTGTATTCTTGATTCATACCAAGAGGTTCACATTAAAAAAAAAAAAAAAACAGAAAAGGAAAAGTAATCTGATGTTTTCTCAATTAGCATCCCATGTTTGCATGGGTCTGGGCTCCTGTCCTTCAGCACTTCAGATTTTCCACAAGATTGCTGTGCAATATTCTGGTTTAACTATTTCTGTCTTTCCTGCTAGACTCAAACTCTCCTCTAGTTTGAGGAATTCGTTGTTTTTCAAACATTTTCAAAGGCTGGTTATTTAAAGAAAGGCTCAGAGATGTTTGGTTTTTATTCCACTGTTCTGTGACAATCACTTAAAGCACAGCAATTTATCTGCACTAAGGATATCAGCTTCACAAAGAAAAAAACCAACAACAGGAAAAACAAACATACAGCTTCACTGCAGCAGCATTAACAATGAAATGCACAGTATTTCTGCAGGTGATCAATGATAAATACCTGAGCACATCAGAAGTTTGATTAGAATCAAGTGGATGGGAGTGTTTACTGTGGAGTAGCTCGTCTGATTGCACTGAAGGCACGTGGAGGTGCAAAGAGGCCTGAGGAAGGAAGAAGGAAGCCAGAAGTTACTGCCTGATCAGCTACACCACATTTCCTTCCCCCATGTTGTTGTAGCTTGCAGGCACCTTCTCTGTCTGACACACAAGCCAAAACAAATCTTATCCTCAGGCCATCCACAAGTTCAGGAATTCTCAGAATATTTCTAATCTCTCACACAGATCTCTGCTAAAGGCACAGTGGTAGTAGAGAAATATATATATGGGAGGTTTTTTAATCCCTTTTCTACATTAAGTGATTATTAAAAACTCAACTCAAGTGGCCCAAGATGTTTAATAACACACACACTTGGAAGTTCAGCTGCTTTCTATAGGCCTGGTCTATTTAAATTTCATATCTAGAGCTGCTTAGTGTAAATAATAAATCCTCTCTTCAAAATAATATCCTATAGCAAAGCCACAGCTGAGCTGAGGCCAAGAGGAGCTGCTAATCCAGACACAAGCAAGGCTGCAGAAGATCTATCTGGATCATTAGGAAACAAAGCACAGTATCAGAGATGCTGATTTGTTCATACAGAAAGTTTCTCTCTATACCAATGTACAGCCCTAAATGTGCCAAGTGTGTCTTGATTGTGCCATAAGGAGATAAGGGGCTCAGACAACACCCAGACAGATATACAGTGCAAAGCCAACATGGAAAAACCAGCTTTTATGCTTTGTGCAATCCAGAAAGATTAATTTATTCCTTATTTTACCCAGGGCAACCGAGTTATTACACTGCACTTATGTGCCTCCCTCTTTACCACCAGTCCCCACAGGGGCGCAGCCTCAGCCCAGCTCTGTCCAGGAACTCCACCTGTTCTTACAAAACCCTGGAGCATAAAGCCAGGGAAAAAAAAGAGTCCAGACTACCAGGAAGAAACCATGAGCAAGGCAGAACCTTCCCAACAGCCAGATCTCAAAAACTGAATAAACCTGGCCTCTCCTGAAGCAAGAGCAGAGCCATCTCCAGAGACATGCACTGACTTTGGTTTAACCAGAACAGTTTTCACCCCCAGACCCTCAGGCTGCTCAAATCTCTGCCAGGACAGTACCTTAAGAAACAAGGGACACTGATTTTGTGCTTGAGGACACGCTGACCAAAACCAGTCAGGCAATGGACCTGCTTTGGCAGTTGACACAAAATAACCGAGGGCCAGTGGCTGCTGCAGGATATTTGTTACTTCATCGTGAGATTCTGTGGAAAGCAATCGATCTGTGCCTTGACCCTGCAACACAACAGGCAAAGGTTCAGATTAGGAGAGCACAAATTTAATAGAAATTTTCTGTAGCTTCTGAAACACAAAGCATTGGAAATATCCAAGCATGACATGACAATCCAATATCCAGGTGATCTAAAAGCTTTCATTCCACAAAAGGAAATGACCAGATGGAGAAAAACCAGACAGAACACACACACAAAACTGTATTTACTCCAATAGTTACCTTGCCCATATCACCTCCATGGGGGTAGTGGGACCCTGGAGAATGCACAGGGGATCCACCAGGAGATGCAGGAAGAATATTTATAATATCAGGATCAAGATCATCTCCAGTGTCTAACAAGTCAAAGATTCCCATTCCATCTGCTCCATCTTGGAAAAAAAGAACAAGACCAGTGAATTCCTACAATTTCACCATGTGCAGGATATGACAGTACATTCAGAAATAAAGGGATTTTCCATAGAAATGGTTCCTCGTGACAGTGCTCACAGGGGTCCGAGGATGAGGGAAGAGATGAGGATCTGACTCCATGTTTCAAAAGGCTGATTTATTGTTTTATGATATATCTTATATTAAAACTATACTAAAAGAATAGAAGAAAGGATTTCATCAGAAGGCTAACTAAGAATAGAAAAAAAAAAGGAATGATAACAAAGGCTTGTGTGTCTTGGACAGAGAGTCTGAGCCAGCTCACTGTGATTGGCCATTAATTAGAAACAACCACATGAGACCAATCCCAGATGCACCTGTTGCATTCCACAGCAGCAGATAATCAATGTTTACATTTTGTTCCTGAGGCCTCTCAGCTTCTCAGGGGGAAAAATCCTAAGGAAAGGATTTTCCAGAAAATATCACAGCTGCAGTTCCTTAGAATGAACAGTTTAATCTCATGATAGGGACAGTGATGAGGGGTCTTTAGAAGGTGAGAACAAATGCAAGTACAAACCATTGTTTGTGTTAAAGGCCAGATCCAGGTTCTCAGTGGTGTAGGTGGATGATGCCACCTGCACGGAGGCAGAGGTGGGGAACACCAGGATGTGGGTGCAGGAGGTGTCCTGGGGCGTGTTCAGCTGGGATGTTTGCATGTTCAGAGTGGTGCTGCGCCCGAACACCGAGCCCGTGGACACGGAGTCTGTGGGGGAGAAACCAAACATTCCCTCAGTTCAACAAAGCCTGAGCTGGTAGCTCTTGTGCCAAACAAAGAGAGCTTCCCAAATACCTGGCATAATAATGAAGGATCCCTGGGGTTCCATGGCCACCAAGCAAGCACTGAGAATGCTGGGGGAGTCTGCAGCAGAGATCCCACACATCCTGCACATGTCCTTCAGCCGCTTGCTCAGGGACTGCAGGTTCCGGCGGCTCAGCAAACAGCTCCAGTCTGCGGGAGGAAATCTCACTTGTGAGGCTCTCTTCCAGAAACAGGGATGGACACATTTGATACTACTGAAATATTAAAGCTTTAAATCAAGCTTTAGACTCTAAAAAAATCCTGCTGTTACCTTTTAATTCCCCATGTCCTATTCTTCCCAAGCGGCCTATGACAACTCTCCATGGCAGAGAGCTCATCTGCACCAGTCCCAGGCACCATTCCCAGAGTTTCTGGAGACCAAGTCTGCGGGCAGAGCCCTTTTTCCTACGAGCTCTAGAAGAAAGAAAGAAGGGAAAACAAAGTTAAAACTGCAACAAGTTTTTAATGCCATGTTTAGAACATTTTTGTATTAACCTGAACATTCACCAGTGTGTTGGTATTGCAGTCCATCAGCTGCAGCTTCAGGGGGTTTGGGGGGTTTTTAAATTAATCACATTCTAAAACTGACATTAACAGCCAGTGAGTGAGATGGGGAAGCAGGAACACACACACAGTAACACTCAAGAATCACATGAAACTAAACTGTGCTCTTCTAGAAATTTAACTCAAAATGATATCCACATAATAAGGAATAAATTCATCTGCTTTAGCCACTTTTGCAGCACAGCAAGTCTACAAAAGTCAGTTATTCTTACAGTACCAAACCCAATGTAATTCTTCAGGGGAATGAGAGAAAATACCCTTGCTAAAAATGAATTAAAGTTTGGTTCTTACCTGTTTGGTACATCAATATTAATTATGCAAGTTTCTAATTGCTCTCCATAGAGGTCTGTACAGGATGCAAGCAGCCACCTCTGATCATGAGACAAACAGTAGCCCACAAAAAGCACATTGTACTTCTGGCCAGCTTCTCCAAAGGTTTCTCCCAGCTCTGTTTGCTTGTCCTTCACTGGAGCCAGTATAAAAGGAGGGCTGTAGAGTCGAATACACTCAGGTCTCTAGAAAGATGACAGAACAGACAATGAAGTTTGGGGACAAAATTACTCCCAACATAAAAGATGGCTGGTTGATAAGCAGGGACATTCCTCTGATCTGGATAATCCCACCATCTCATGAACAATACTCACATCAGGGCTCCTCAGAGCAGTTTCCATGGCTAACCCTGGCCCAAAGCCAGTTAAGGTTTTCACGTTGGTGGAAGTTGGGAGAGGTCTCCGGCACTGAGTGAAAGCTGAAAATGCCAAAGATTTTAAATGCTGAGTGTAAATCTGCCGGTCCTCGTGCTTCACAGGCTGCAGCAGGTACTGACATGGGACAATCTGGAACACAGGAGAGGAGAAAAAAATAAATCTTTGTTTTATCAACAGATTAAATGGCTTCTGACACACTATTTGGTACACTGCTTTTTGAATTTTACTTAGCAGCCAATTTCTTCCAATTCTTCCAAAGCCCTGTGGGACTTCAAGAAATTATTCCCATTGGAATTCTCTTCAGAGGAAGAAATAATTTGTTTAGAAGAGAATCTTAATGATTCATCCAAAAAGCTGCCCTATGTTAACGGGTCCTGCAGCTGGAGGAGCTCTGCCTGCAGCCCAGCAGGGTCAGGCTGCAGATTCCAGTACAGGAGCAGCAGCTTTCCCATACCTCACTCATTACTCACTACATTTCCTCTGAGCTAAAACTGATGAGTTTGGAATGTACAACAGGATTCAGCTTTGGTTAACAGCACCCAAACTGCTCTAAAAGCTGTAACCTGGTGGTTTAACAGCTGGAGATCTGTAAGTCATGTTTGTGAAGGAAATGAAACTTTCACCATGAGGGGTTACTGCCCCCAAACCCAGCCAAAGCCAGGGGTACCCTGTTGGTTTCTGTTGGCTCACCTGCACAGAAATGATGTTCTTGATGTGGGGAGGAAGAACCTGAACCATCTCCAGGAAGCAGCGCAGAAGTCCAAGCGTCCACAAACTGGATGAGCTGCTGTTCTCATCCTTTTTTTCATATGTGAAAGGATCAATTATGTAAACTACAATTGCAGGTGGATAGGTGATAGCATGTGAATCTCCATCTGTGGGGACTCCGACTTTATCACGATCCATAGTGCTGGGAAGGAAATTTTGAAACCAGTTACAAACAGCTGAGTTTTGTACAGATTAGGTTTTACTTCAAAACTAAATCAAATTGTCAATTATTAATCTGAAAGAGTCAACTGTGGTGTAAGAAACAATCTTTTTATGTCATTTTTGTATAAGAGCTTATCAGTAACTCTGAATCCCTTTTCTTTCCTTTAGCCTCCTTTATTACAGCAGCTCAACAGCTCAACTAGTGCTTAACTGGGGAACAAGAATATCTACAGTAAGAGCTGTCTTCACCACTCTAACTTTGATTACAGAAAATAGAGCTCTAAGATGGTGCCAATTATCTATCTCCCCCTCCTTCCCCAGCCCTTTAAAATATTGAAGTGAGTAGTTTGGTGAATTTCCTGTCTTTAGAGAGAGAAGAAAAAAAGGAAGTTTATTTTTGTACCAGAGCAGACACTGAGATGTAATTAGAACTGCAGCTACAACTGGAACCAAAAGGTTCAGCTCCACCACAACTGAACTCTCCAATCTCCCTTAAAAGCAGCTTGGTGAAAATAAATACAGGGTTTTATTGAAGGGGTAAAAGTTCACGTTAGCTGAGCTGATTTTTCAGCTGAAGGTGTGACTGCAGTTCCCTACCTTTCAGAAACCTCTGGATGGGGCTGTGCAGGTGCTGCAGCCGTGTCTCCAGACATCCCTGCTGCTTGCAGTGTTGGCTGTTGCTGCTGCCCCCCAGTTTGCCCGTTGGGGACCGGCGCAGCCTGGGCGGGCAGGGAGGCAGGAGTGGTGCTGTTCATATTGCTGAAGGGCGGGAATGAGGAAGGCTTGCTCGTTGGAATGCCACTGGCCAGGCTGGCAGAGGAGGAGGAGGGGGCAGTGGTGGTCAGGGTGGAGTTGGCTGTGGTGGCTGCAGAGGACATGGCACTGCTGGAGGTCACGGGGATGGTGCTGCTGCTGGGAGCTGTGGGAGCTGATGATGGAGTGTTGGGATTGGCAGCAGGGGCTGTCACTGGGGGCAGAGCAGAGCCTGCCTGGCTGCAGGGAGGGACCAGGTTGGTTTGGGAAAGTAGAGAATTGTCCAAAGGCTGAGAAGCAAGATAAGGACCTAAAACCAGGGGAAAAAAAGCATAACTTTTATAATGCAGCTGTTTTGATGCTTATGTCACCTATGGAAGTCTACAGTTGTAACAAAATAGAGCAAACTTTAAGCATACATTTTACCTCTCAAATTAAAAAACCTCTATTAAATTTTCAAATTCTAATATTTTCATAAGAGCCTTCCAGAAAGATCAAGAAATCTCTTTTTAATATAACTTTTTTCCAGGTGTGTTGAATTGCTGGAAATCACTGCTACAGGATCCAAGTCCCCAATACAAGAAGACAACTGAAGTCCCCATCAGGCAGCCACTGCCATTCCCTAAAGGCACTGCTGGATGGTAAGAGACCATTTTTGCACATATTCAAATATAGTTTAAAACCAGAAAACTGCCCTCATCAGTAAGACAGTAACGATTCCTTTTTCTCCATTGCAAAGGAGTAATTGGCAATTGTATGAAATAAGGAACGTTAAAAAAGTCATACCCAGCTCATATCTGCACACTTGAGCGTAGAGTTTGAGTTTGGAGAACGCATCGTTGTTGGCATTGGCTGTCTGGGAGAACCACTCTGTGACCAACTTCTCTGACAGCTTCTTGGAGGCTGTAGGGCCAACCCTCATGATCCCATCAGGCAGTAACTTACAGATAGGTCTGTGCTGACCAAGCCTGCAGGACTGCAAAGGTAAAAAAACCCTTAAAAGCTGCTAAATATCACACAAATTATCTATCATAGAAAGGCAGAGAACTCTCAGCTTATTTACAATATTCCAAAGTAACATTTTAACTCTAGAATCCCACCAGTAGCAAATGTTGAATGGTGATTTTATGGGTTACTGTCAGCATTTTCCTAAATGCAAGAAAACCAGGTTGATAATAATCGACTCTAATCTTCATTCAACCCAAGCATGTAATTAATTAATTAAATGGAGGTAACACTATGGCAATGCAGAGCTTTGCCACCGGGTGGCGTTTATCGGATGGGAACAAGGAGCAGCACGAGCAGCCCTTATCTTCCAAGAGCCCATTCCTAAAATCCCTCGGAGCAGCTTTCCCAGATAGCATTCTGAGCAGGCGTCGCTATCAGCCCCGACAAGCCTGATAAGTCCTTATGAGCACGTATTAGAAACAGCCTTTCCCAAATCCATTTCGGTGCAAACTGCCACAAATCCTGTACCTCGTATATTGCAGTGAGATCCCTAAAGAAGCTCTTGGCCCCGTTGAGCAGAGCCTCGTTCTCCGGGCACACCACGACGTAGGCGACGTCTCGCTGCGAGCCGTACGGCTCCAGCATCAGCCTCTCCCAGTAGGGCAATGCAAACGGAGACAGCACCAGGAAATCATAATCGTATCCCAACAAAAATGTTGGGATTGGCAGTGGTTCTGGGGACTCGTCAGTTCCTGGAAAAGCAAGGCATGTTTTTAAGCAGAAAGCTTAAAATTAACTTCAAGGAAACATGAATAGATCGGCCTCTGGTGTTCCCAGCATCTCACAGGAAGGAGCACTGGCTATCAATGGAATAGTTCTCATTTTACAGATCCAAAGTACAGGATCCAACCCTCTGCAAAAAACCCATCAGCTGATTGTTTCTATTTGAAATATCTCAGGGCCTCAGGAAGAAGTTCCACAGTGTTTTATATTTCCATCAGTACACAGGCAATCAGGAACAGTTCTGCCCTGTCCAGGAAGCCTTTGCCCACAGAGCCAAAGCAATCAGGGACCAAAGACAAGGAAAAACATGTAAATATTCTAAGCAGATGGGTAAAGGGCCAGACAAGGAAACAAACTTAAGAACATGTAAATGTATAATTGCCATGTTCTAAATATAGCTACAAAAGATCTGCTGGTGAAAGGTCACTCTCGTAACACAGTGGTAAATCAATCTCATATGCTAATGAAGTCATTAAATCGTGAGTGCACAAAATTCACCTTCTATCTGTAAATGCATCACATGTTGGCCATTCCAAACATTTATAAGAGACAAGACACTGAATAACCCTGGATCTTGAGCACAGTTCTGACAGTACTGAGCAATAAAGCACACTGTCTCAAGCATTTCAAAACCAGTATTTTTAACTCCTTATGTTTAGAGTTATTAAAATGGGGTGAATTGAAAAATTTTGAGTATAAAACCTGAGCAGTTACTCTGTTTTTAACACCAAACCCATCTTTGCAATGTCAGTCCCTCACTGGGTGAAGTGTCAGGTGTACACAAACAGTGCAACCGAAGCTGTAAATTTTAAATGCACATCTTTAATTCATTGCCTGTTTTAAGGAATATAAATATTTTCTCTTTTCTGAAGAAAAGAATTCTCCTCTGTCTAATAAGCTCTCTTTGGTTTAAAGAAAGGTCAAGTGCTGTTCAGAATTCCAACAGGCTGAGCAGCAGAGGTTTGTGTGGATGGAGCTGGGGAAGGAGGAAAGGAAGGAGGAAAGGAAGGAGGAAAGAAGGAGGAAAGGAAGGAGGAAAGGAAGGAGGGAAGGAAGGAGGGAAGGAAGGAGGAAAGGAAGGAGGAAAGGAAGGAGGAAAGGAAGGAGGAAAGGAAGGAGGGAAGGAAGGAGGGAAGGAAGGAGGGAAGGAAGGAGGGAAGAAAGGAGGGAAAGAAGGAGGGAAGGAAGGAGGAAAGGAAAGGAAGGAGGTTGCAGGGAGCAGGATTCCATGCAGCCCTTACCGTAGGAGCCTCTCCCAGCCATTTTGTGGAACTGCTGCCAGGTGAGGGGTCCCTGCACGCCCCAGGACCGCACCGTGCGCTTCTTCTGGATGGCGTCCTGCAGCACGGGCTGCAGCGAGAGCAGCATGCGCAGGATGTCCTGGGAGCACTGCATGCTCACATCCACCACTGCAGGGACACAAACGGGTCAGGGCAGCTGCACAAACAACAGCCAGCAGCACAAACCACCTCCACTGCCAATATCTCTTCTATAAAACACCTGTAGGCACCCAGAGGCTGGGATACATAAAGTGGAGCGCAAGTGGATTTACAGTTCTCCCTCTTCCCCTGACAAAATACACAAATGGATTTCTTTCTTAATTTTGTTTTTTCCTCTGGAGTTTTTCCATTGAAAGGCTCCCATCTTATGAGTTAAACTAAGGGAAAACACCCTAAAATAAAAACAAAACAAACAAAAACAAACAAAACCTCCAAATAAGTTGTAGAAGCCTGGAACTCCTGGATTGCCCCTCCCAAAAAAGGCGGATTTGCAGGCTGCCACCCAGTGCTCATTTCAGAGAAGTCAAGGGAAGCCTTGAGCAGACTCAGCCCATTTCATCCAGAGCCACCACTGGGCCATTTCAGGTACAAGGATTTAGAATGAAAAGCTGACACAAAATTTGGCATGGCTACTATTTCCAAGTCCTCTCTTTTAAAGTATCTCTACATCTTTTTATCCCAAACATCAGTCACAGTACACAGAGTCTTATCCTGTGTGCCTGAAAACATCAATTTATTTACAGTCTGGGCTTTCCAAGTTAATCCCCCAGCAAGGCACAGGAACCTGGCTGTGTTCTCCCAGGATTCCTCCTCATCTTCACTTACAACTATGAGCTGCTGCTACCTGTAATTCATAACTTTATTTTTCATCCTAACCCTGTTAAGAGTTGCCACTTGAAATTCTATTAGAGAACAGTAAGCAAATACACACAATGAAGGTATTCCAGGAGACACTGCATCATTAGTCAGGCCCTCGAAGGAAAAATCCAAGGATTTCTGGCAGACTCAACACACAGTGAAGGCTACAATAATGCTTCTTTTTGCCACATGTGCCATTAACCTACTGCCCCCCTCTCTTCCTTAAAGAAGGGGGGAAGGCAACTGAATCAGAGCTGTTGTTTAATTCTGCCACAGTGGCCTTGACAATAGGGTCACCACTCAAACCCTTCCTACAGGCATCAATCATTCCAGAGCCTCTGGAGAGCCACTCACCAAAAGCTCTTTAAAGGATAAACCCGGTGAAGTGTTGTGGACACTGACAGTGGTCTCAGGCTACACTTCAGATATATATTGGGAATTTACAACTGAGAGCAGCCAAGGCCTTCCTCTGCTTGGTGATGAGCACAGGACATGGGAGGGTTGGGTATCCAACCACAAGTCTGTACGAGCACACAGGTGGCAAAAACAGCATTCAAAATCCACAAAGGAAAACCACAAAAAAAGACCCTTCAAAAACAAACCCCCAAACAGGTGGACAAGTAGAAAATAAACTGGTTTCAATATTTACCATTTCTTTTTGACCAGTGGTGCAAGCAAGTAGTTTTCACAAGTGCTTCGTCAACTTTCCCTCCTGACATATTGTCCATGAACTGGCGTCCATGTTCCAAGGCTAAGTAGCAGTCATTGCAACAATCCCTTTCTTCTACACGTACCACATTGCTGACAGCACCAACTTTGGCCACGGAGTCTTGGTCTGCTGCTCCAAAGGGTGAGAACAGGTTGGTGCACTGATCCTGCAGCAACAGTATCAAGTCATCGGGCAGTTTCTCGGGCTCTTTCAGCCCCCCACTGCCGTGTTCAATGGAAGTCGCTCTGAGAGCCTCGAAGCGTTTTTCCGCTTCTTTGCCGCACTCCGTGTTTCGCCCCAGAATATCCAACTCATCTTCAAGAAACAGCCCGGAACTGTTGCCAAATTTTCTATTCATAACAGCACTGAAACCACAGGTACACCTATACTGGGCCTCTTGTGTTGGATCAGGAATGTAAACTCCAACGTCAGCACCTTTGATGTTCATATTGCAAACGCAAATGCAGCAGCTGTCGAAGTTGCAGTCCTTGAAGAGGTTCATGACGGACTCGGAGAGGATGAGGTTCACGTACAGGCTGTGTGCCTCGGGGATGGAAGGCACCGTCGCGGGCTCCACCGAGTTCAGGGGCCGGCACGTGGAGGGGGTGGAGGCGGGTGAGTACAAATCCGAGTTCTCGTACTTCACCGAGCCCTGGGCGCTCGCGGGCCCGCCGGCTCCGCGGGGCGTGCGGGGAGTCCTTGGTGTCCTGGGCGTGGGGAAGCGAGGGGTGGAGGGAGAGGGGAGGATCCCAGCCCCGCCATTGCTGGGAGGGGCACTGCTGGGGGGCATCCCAAACGGAGTGTGGGTCTGGGGCGTGTACGCAGGGCCGTACTCCTGGTCCATGGTGCTCCCATCGCTGGCGGCAGCCGCAAGAGAAGGAAAGGCTTTAAGTACACAGCATCGTACTGGGTTTGGAGTTTAAGACTCAGATTTCTAAAGAAGGACCTTCCTAATTAATATTTGCTTTTTTTAAGCTAGTCTTTCGTAATCCACAGTAAGATTTTCATTCCCCAAGGAACTTCAAGAGCGTTTGTTCTAAATGACTTTGCAGGACTCCCACTGACAGCACCATTAAAGAATCTCTCCCTGCCTCCTTTCGTCTTTTCCTCTGCACAAAGCTCCCAGGAAACAAGTGTGGTCAGAATAAATTATAAATTCTGTGGTTGTATGGAGTCTAAAGGACACCTTTTCATTCATGTTTTATTTACATGTTGTGTTGACACACACTAAGAAAATAGACCAGGTCTGAATCCGTGAGGAAAGTACCACCTAGAAAGGTTTAACGTTTTCTTTCCTAAGCACCTGAGTATCTCCAAAAACTTGTAAGGCTAATGAGACCTGGAAACATATTGCTAATGAGTAACAGAAGCAACATCAGTATTTGATCCAAGATTTAGTATTCATATAATCTTATCAAGAAATCCATAACACCTCCTTGCTGCCTAATCCCTTTTTACCAGCTACTAATGCAGAAGAGAAAAAGAAAGAAATCTTTTCCTCGAGAAGAGCTGGCAGCAAGACCATCCCTACCAAATGCAGGGTACAGAAACGTCCCCTGCAGTTCTGCTGTGACCAGGCCCAGTCACACAGCACAGGAAATTATTTCCTACTCCCAGCACAGCTGAGTTTACTGCTACTTAAGAAAATCATTTAAGAAACAGCAGCACCACCTACTAAGCCCTTCCAGCACTGACTACACCACTGCAAAAACAAAGTCCCAAGTTTACATTTATCTTGATTGTTACCATCTTCATTACTTATTAAACCTGGACCTGCACCATTAAGCTTCCCCAAGAAACCTTTAAAGGAGACAACAAATAAAATGTATGTACAGTTAAGAAGCTCTTTGAGAAGAGTCTCCTGCAGTAGGTTTGGCCAGAAGGACTTTTTAAAGGCTCTTGTCGGTTGTATAAACACAGAGTATACACAAATATTCCCATTACTGATTGACAAAATAAATATTTAGGGGTGGCAGAGTGAGCACATCACAAAGCTGAAGCCCCCAGGATCGTACCCATCTTTGATGAAAGGCATGGCAGGGCCTGGAGGAAGCAGATCCAGCTTTCCCACAGTCCAGCTCTGGCGGTAAATGCATTCCTCAGGCAGCTTGATGGGAGGAAGACACTGGCTGGGAAGAGTCTTCAGTGGTGCAAACATGGAACATCCCACTAAAGCTTGACAGTTCTCAGGTTTATAAACATAGGAATAATCCTGCAAGTCAGACATGGGAAAGCATTAGTGTGTAATTTAGATCACTGCAGCAATTAAATGATTCTCCAAAAAACAGGAGCGAGTTCAAGCAGCAGTTCCTTAACCCAAAATCCTGACACAGCTGCAAGGGAAAGCTGAGATGTGCACACACAATATTCACAATACACCAAAACAAACCTCAGTGAACTGCTGTGACTGAAAGGCATTTCTGCAGCTCACTGATGCCTACCCAGGTTTTACTCTCTCTTAAGTGGTAAAACATACATACTACAAAGAATATTACCTCCCTCAAAACAACACAGAACAAGTTACAAATTGTACTTAATCTCCCCCCATTCCTATTCAGATTTAAGTCATGAACTGGTCAATAACCACAAGCATTGACCAGGGCTGTCGGCACCACCTACCTTGATTTCAGCAGGTTTGGGGCTGCAGAAACCCTCATCCACCTCGATTCTGAACTGAGCCCCCACAGTGGAGCTATTCCCTTCCAGCACTGTTCCTCCAAGTGTAGTGTCCATGCTGCCATACTCCTTATTGTTCATGTTCATTGGAGAAAACCCCATAATATGTTGTTCCAGTGAAGGGGGAGTTGGATACATTTTGTGGAGATCTGCAGTGCCTAATTTCAGATCAGAAGCAGACTTTAGAGCATGAAAACTTTCTGAAGTGTTTCCCAAGTCTCCAAATTTTGCAAAGCAAATGAAGGGTACATTTCCAAATTGCCACAACATATTAGAGTCAAATGTTTACAGCTACATTCTCTTTAGGCAAAAAGAAAACACAAATAAATCTTACTTATGCATGACAGTGGGTCTAGATTTCCTGTTTTTGCCTCTTTGCAGTTGGATTTGTCATCAGTGCCGTTCACTGTTCGTTTAGATCCAGGCTAAGAAAGAAGCATTTCAGACATAAACACATGTTCATGTTTCCTGCTAACAGGAAATCTCACCTGCACATACAAAGCTGAGACATTGTATAATATTTAGAAAAATTAAAATAGCTCAGAAGCCTAAGGTGGGGCTTACACTTGTTCTTAATTCTTGGAACCCAGAGAACCTCTCCCAAGGGTTCACAATGTTATTGAAGGGAAAAACCAGTTACAAAATATCCCTCATCCTGTTAGCAGACAGCAAAAGAAGCTAAATTAGGGCTGCCCACAGTTTACCAGAACAAACCACAACACTCCCAGAGCCATATTAACATCACTGGTGCTACCACAGCAACAGAAAAGACAAACACAAATCCTGCAACAAGAAATACAGGGAAAATATCTGTCAAAAGTCAAAGAAGAAAAGATATTTTACAATCTGTAGACATCTGAACTGTTTAAAGATGGTAAGTGTTCATGTTTAAGAGCAAACACACTTCCTTTACATACTGATGACCTTTGATGACTGTTAAGATCCTTCAGCCCTTACTTAGCTCCAGCTCCCATTAAAGTTGATGGGCATTTTGTCTGGGCAAGGGGATTTAGGATTAAACGTGGAGCAAAGCACAGTTCAGAAAAGACAACTGATTATAAATAGTATTGAAATAGAAACTAGAAAGATAATGGATTCAGACTGCAAGAGAAACTGTTCCCAGATAATAGCTGCTGCAGACAAGCAGCTTATTTGGCAGAGTGTCCAGTGTTTAAATGCCTTTTCTCTTTCAGAAGTTGCTGCTTTGTTTCACTATTACCTTGATGAAGCAGTTAACAGAGCCCAGACCACAGGAAGAGAACACACTAGCACCTGCTGAATCTGTACAAGTCAAACTAAAGGTATGTTCAGGCAGCACACACTGTGGGGATTGTAAGGAAGTGAGATCAAAAGGTTGTTTGCATCTAAAATCTGCCTGCATGAGTCAAGCAGAGCAGCCCGTTTGGCACCGAGGGGCCACAGCTCCTGTTTGTGTCAATGTTCTGCAACCTCTCCTACAAACACCACAAAGAAATCAAACACCAAACCACAGAAGGACAAGAGTTGGTCCTTGCTGGTTTTTTAGCTGGCACCTGCCAGGAGTTTTTGCACATCACTTACTGTGAGTTCATCTTCATCAGAATTGAAGAGATTGTCCAGGTCGGTGTAGGACACCACCAGGTCGGTCTCGTGGAACAGGCTGGTGGAGGCCGTGCGCGCGTGGGCAGCCAAGCGCTGGGCATCTGTGGGGAGACAAAGCCCAGCTCTGCCTCTGCCTCTGCATGGAAACTGCACTGGAGAGCCCAGCTCTGCCTCTGCCTCTGCATGGAAACTGCACTGGAGAGCCCAGCTCTGCCTCTGCCTCTGCATGGAAACTGCACTGGAGAGCCCAGCTCTGCCTCTGCCTCTGCATGGAAACTGCACTGGAGAGCCCAGCTCTGCCTCTGCATGGAAACTGCACTGGAGAGCCCAGCTCTGCCTCTGCCTCTGCATGGAAACTGCACTGGAGAGCCCAGCTCTGCGTCTGCATGGAAACTGCACTGGAGAGCCCAGCTCTGCCTCTGCCTCTGCATGGAAACTGCACTGGAGAGCCCAGCTCTGCCTCTGCCTCTGCATGGAAACTGCACTGGAGAGCCCAGCTCTGCCTCTGCGTCTGCATGGAAACTGCACTGGAGAGCCCAGCTCTGCCTCTGCCTCTGCATGGAAACTGCACTGGAGAGCCCAGCTCTGCCTCTGCATGGAAACTGCACTGGAGAGCCCAGCTCTGCCTCTGCCTCTGCATGGAAACTGCACTGGAGAGCCCAGCTCTGCCTCTGCATGGAAACTGCACTGGAGAGCCCAGCTCTGCCTCTGCCTCTGCATGGAAACTGCACTGGAGAGCCCAGCTCTGCCTCTGCATGGAAACTGCACTGGAGAGCCCAGCTCTGCCTCTGCCTCTGCATGGAAACTGCACTGGAGAGCCCAGCTCTGCCTCTGCATGGAAACTGCACTGGAGAGCCCAGCTCTGCCTCTGCGTCTGCATGGAAACTGCACTGGAGAGCTCTGCCCACAGCTGGGGAAAGGACACCCAGGGGTGAGAGGGACTGGCTTCATCTCATCCATCTTACAGAGGTGAGGGCCCTTCCAGTTTAGACTTCATAGCCAACATTTGTTTGCAAGGTGCAACAATGAAATGTTCCCAGCAGACTAAAGGGGAATACAAACCATAAACCACAAAACTGAGCAGCCTATTAGAATCTATTGACTATTCAAGACATCATTAATACAACACAAGACAGAGAGGGAAAAAACCTCTTTACCTTGCTTGACAGAAGGACTAAACAGAGACATTGCATCCTCTCCTTCGTGGGATAGAACTGTAACACTGGATGTCCCATCCTCAGCCTATTAAAAAACAGAGAAAAGTTTGCTTGAATTAATGAGTGGGGTGGGAGGTATTTGATGTCCCTGTGAGGATTCTGTCCCTGGAGAGGATCAGGTTCTCATTACCCTGGGAGCTCAGCAGGGCAGGCTGGGGGCTGCTGCTGGCTCAGGGGAGCAGAGCCTGGGCTGCCAACTCTGGGCTTGTCTTGGGGATAAATTTACAAAGCAAGCTGTGGATTCTTGCTACAACACCTTAAGGAAAAACCCTCACTATCAGATGAACTGTACCAGTTCCAGAATGAATGCATCCACACATTACTAATTCTAATAAGCAAATTTCTTTCATAGACAAGCCCCCAGTGCAGTTATAGTTTCTCTTTTTCTGTGGGTGCCCTTTTGCTTTAAGTACAAGTCTCACATAGCTGCACTAATGCACAAAAAAAGAATAAAAACTGCAATTCACTGGCCAGGGAACGAGTCAGGGCTCACCTCACCTACCCCCAGACCTTTCCACTCATGAACAAAGCACTGGCCTTGTTCCCCCTCTCTCCCCAGGCACCTGCCAGCACCTATTTCCACAGGAGGCCACTGAGCCAGACTGATCCAGCAGCTTTTTCCTCATGAGCCCTGATGCAATGGCACCAGCAGTGTGCCAAAAAAAAATTTAGGTGTCATTGGAGACATGCTGCTTAATTTCATTGATCATTTCTGCTGGAATATAATTTGGTTTTTAATTTGCTTCTAAATACACAAAGAAGGGTTTAAATTCTATCCCGTGCCTCAGGCAATTTGTTTAATCTCATCACTGATTTGGAGCCTCACTCCTTTACTCACCTTGTGTTTCTTCCCCACTTCCCTCTCCATGTTCTGCCTGTCCTTTTTACTGTCAGGAAATAGGAATTCCACGTCTCCATCCACAAAGGCATAAGGATCAATTTCAGGTTCCTGGTCAGCTTCCGTTGCTACAGCTGTTAAATATTGGTTTTTACTCTGATACTGTTGCACCAGTTCATCTGAAACCTTCAAAGGTTTCCTACATTGCACCATTAATCTGAACAGAAGAAAAATAAAATCACAAAATCATTTATTTAGCATTTATTACACGGAATTATTTCTGCTATCACACAGCCTTAACAAGAACAACCTCATCTTTCCACTTCCTTCCTTCCCAGCCCAGCTTCAGAAAACTTTTGGGGATGAAGATTAAATCATTACTCATTTAATATCACCTCCTTCCACACATCAGATCCAGCTGTGTGATTCATCCTCCCCTCTCTCCTCAAGCACTGTCAATTCACATAAAGATTAGTAATTTATCCCAGGTCATGGCTGTCATTTGTTATAAGGCACAAATGGATTCAACTCTCCACATCCACTAAAAGAAACTCACCAGGCTAAAGAATTACTCAGTGCATTCCCCAAAAAAGCCCAAGCAATAATCACAAGTAAAGCACACAAATGCCACTGTGCTCAGGAGCCATTTATATCACTCAGATCAATACAAATGAAGCTCGCAGCACACCAGTAACTAATTTACTAATGAGAAAATTCTAACCACATTTGCCTTTATCAGCATTTTTCTTTTGTTAACATTCTGAGCCAAGACTGGAGCTGGTCAGTACACAGAAATTCAGGTTTTCTCTCTGAAGTGTTGGTTTCACAAATGTGGCATTGCACCAGGAAAGAAAAAAGACATTGGCAAGGAAAAAACTGTTCTGATTATGAGCTGTAGATGTGCCCCTGAACCAGCTTCATTTTCTGTACCCCAACAAACAGAAGGCACCAGGTGAGGAAGGTGCTCCCTCAAACAAGATCAGAAGCTCCTGCACATTCCTCTCAACTATAGAAACAGTTTGGCTTTGTCAAAGACACTTCCTAGAAACAACCTGTCCCAAAAAACATCTCAGAGCCAACAACAATGCCAAATCCATCCATGCTGCTCTTCCATGCTCAATAAACCAGTTTCTAAATCCTGCAAAAACTGCCATCAGGAAAGGAAAAATAAAAAGGCAGAAGAAGAGATGGAAATGACTTTCTAGGAATGGGGAATTTAACACCTCTGCTGTATTTTTGACCAGCAGAGAGGAAGAGAAGTTAACAGCCAGATATCCCAGGGGGAAAAGATGTTTTTGGTAAGTTGTCAAATCAAACTAGGAAAGACAATGTCTTGAAGAGACAAAAGGAAACATCTTTCCTTATCTACTGGGCTGAAGTGATTTCAAGGCAAAGAAAAAAAGCACTAAAAAACACCATACATGCACATCCTGAAAGAGTCTCTTAAACAGTGACCACAAAGGATGTCCAGAGCTGTGTGTGAGCACAGAGCAGCAGCTACACCACATTTACTCCTTCTCCAGCTTTCCCACCCAGCCATTCCAGTGCTGCCACCAGTGGCTTCCCACTGCCAGCAATGGGACAAAAACCAACTCCAGCCTTCTGTCTTGTGAGCAGCTGCTCTTCCACCCCAAATTCAGCACCAGCTCCTAAAATTAAACCCAAAGCTCTCCATAATTTGATATACATCACAGTAAGAATCTCCTTTCACCTGAATAAGAAAATTTAGACCAAAAAGAATGGACAGAAGTGCCTGGATAGAGGCAGCTCTGGGTGCAGCCCTCAATTCCTCGATGCCAGCCCTGAGCCCAGGTTTGTCCCCTGTCCTGCACCCCCAGCCCAGGTTTGTCCCCTCTCCTGCACCCCCAGCCCTGCTGAGCTGTGAACAGCCCTGTCAGCACCTGCTGCCCCCAGGGCTGTCCCTTTCCAGTGTGTCCCCACAGGGAGTTGCTGTGGCACAGGGGTGACAGGGACAATTCCCTGCTCACACAGCAGCACAGGGACACGGCCCAAGGACCAGGGTTCTGCTTCTGGGGTTTTCTTCTTGTGGGCTGGGGATTTGGTGCTGGTGATCTTCACTGGGGACTTTGTTTAACTGGTAAAGCAAATTCATCTTGGCTCATTCTGCTTAAAACAGAGCTCAAAGTTTTAACACTAAAACCACCAGAGTTTGATTTCCTCCAGTGGCCCTAAGCTCCAGAATTCATTCAAACTTAAAAACAGTATCCAAAGTGACCAATTCCTTTATCCCAATGGAAACAAGCAGCAGAGCAGAATGTTTTACAAGCAGGGGCTTGTAACATCAGCTCTTCTAAGTGAAGACAGGAGCAGAAATGAGAGAAGAAAATTTAACAGGATCTCTGCAGCTGAGACCATCCATATTATTCCTCAAATACTGAAGTGAAAAAGTTATTTCTTTTTTTTGGGAGAGGAGGGGGAAGGAAGGAACTTAAGTCTCTAATAGGCATCATTTGGCTGCCTACGAGATTAATTTTATAGTACAAAAATAAATATCATTGCTGTCAGCTAAATCAGAACTAAAATGAGAAAAAGCTGGAAAGTCTTGCTACAGATCTGACTGGGCTTTGTCCTCCCATTTCACAAGGATTAACTTCTTGTACCCAGAGCTGTGCTCACACCCTCAGCATTTCTGCTCCTTCCACTGAGAACCTGCTGCCTTTGGCCTCCCTGTTCCCTCACTGCCCGTGCTGTTACCCCAGGATCAAGCAGCACTTACTCTGTAACTGATGTTACATTTTCCTGTCCAGCAGGTATTACTGGATCATCTCTCAACTTATCATTTGGAAGCTGGGGCGGTAAGAACTCCACATCCTTTTTCTTTGGAACTTTATAATACTTCCAAGTGGTGTCAGCTTCATCCTCCTCCAGGCTGACGGCAGCGCCCACGTACACGGTGGGCTCGATCACCTCGGGGAAGGCGGCGGGGAAGGGCTGGGAGAGCCCATCCAGCCTGTCCTCCATCGCTTTCGTGGGCACCAAGGGCTCTGGAGTTGGCATCTGGTAGAAATGTTGGCTCTGGGGCGTGGAGGGGGCTTTGGGCACGCCCTCGTCGGGGCCGTCGCAGGGGTGGGGGCTGAGGGGGGGCGGCTGGGGGGAGCTGCCCAGCTCGGCCCCGTGCAGCGGCGCCGCCTTCGCGCCCTCGGCGCCTCGGATGGCGGCAAACCTCACTTGGCTGTCGGGGGCAGCCATCACCAGCCTCTGACTCGCCGACTCTGCCTCCATGGCAACATCATCGCTGATAGATACACGATGATGAAAAGGAGTCAAAGGGCGTTTCTGTGGCTTATCCCCTTTGTCTTGCTTCTCGTTTGTCTTGTGCTTCGGAGCCGCCGGCTGCTGGGGGCCCACAGGTGGGGCCTGCCCCTGTTGACCTGAATTTCTTGGTTTGAGATTTTTGTGCCTGCAGAATTAATACAGGGGAAAAGACTCCACATTAATCTTTCAAATATGTCTGTGGTGTTCTTTTTCACTAGATAAGAACCTGCTTCTAGGCCATTAAACAGCCTGTGAGAGACAGCTGAAACCGAAACTGCTCCAAAGTGAAGCTGCCCCTTCTTTCTGACCACAGTTTGAGTGACTTGAGCAGCACTGTATGATTTTTGAGCAGCACTGTATGATTTTACAGTACCATTTTAAAAATTGTAACATGTGTCCTATGAGCCAAACACACAAATAATGCTCAGAATTAAGACAGTATTTTATAACTGCTTTAGCAGAAATAGATTGTCACATGGAAACCTCATCATTTGTAACTTGTGCCAGCACTGATGAATCAGTAGAACAATGTAAGAATTAGTGAATGGCTTCTGGAATTCAAACACTGACACCAGCCAAGAGAGCTGCCCAAGCCTCACTGGGTTAAGGACTGCAAAATTAACACCAAGAACCAAGAAGCCAAGCTCACTCCTACTAAAGCTATTTCCAAGCTATTACAAGGCTTTTGTAGCTGCTTACTTACAAATTTAGCAAGTGTGGGAAAAAGAAAAACACAGTGTCTCAACTGCATTAATACAGCTGGGTCTGTTCAGTGTAAATGCACTTGAGCTCAAACATTTCATCTGCAAGTTCAAGATGCCAACTTCCAGGATCATCTGACAGAATGAGGCACATGAAACGCTGAAGTGTAGAATGAAATGTTTATGATTAAGCCATTGAACTGCAGGTACATGCTCAGTGCCTGGCAGTTCTTTGCCACTCTTCCATTAGCAAAGTTAAGAAGCACTTGTATTGAAAAAACAGGATTAGGCAGAGATAAAAGGTAAGAGGTATCAAAATCTATTTTTACTTTAAACTCTTACACACATTCACATGTTTTTCTCCACTTAGAATTCAAAACACATGGAATAATAAGGGGGTTTAGGTCTGCAATTTCTCTTTAGGCAATTGCATATTTCTAATACACACCTCACATAGTTAATTGACTGGTTTGCTCTTAACTAGTGCTATCATAGCTAAATTCTCCTTGAAAAGAACATTTAATCCTCCTCCACACCCCAGCTCTTCTCAGGACACAAGAATTTCCACAGAACTTTAACCAACCATTTCAATAAGGGAGTTAAAAAAATGCATTTCTCTCAAAATGCTCCATCCTCCAGACAGTAATTTTTTCCTAAGATACCAATATTCCCTGCAAGGTAATCAGTGTAACATTTAAATCACAGAAAGTGTTTAAACCTATTGCAACACTTCAGTCACCTAAAGATTAATATTCTGCCATAAGTACAGAAATTGAGAATTCAATGAAATTAATGTTTCCATTCCATTTAAATACCTGTATTAACAGTGTGTGCATTGCAGCCTCAAAAAGGGCTGTATTAGATACATATATTATATTTTTTTAATCTTAGACATTTTGCCCTTTGTTTTGTTCCTTTTTTCCCAGGTAATATATAAAACACACTGGCATCACTCCTAGAGGAGCATATTTCCACACAGCCACCCTTCCCAGAGAGCAGGTCTGGGGGGTTTTATTCTTATAACAGATCTCTCCTTCAAGGCTAATGCCACAGCCCTCTGAAGAGGTGCCTGAATCCTAAATAAACAGCATTTCCTTGCCATTCCATGAGGTGGTGACTGCCCAAATCCACATGGAACTCCAGGGCTCAGGAATTGTCCCTGCCCTGGCAGCAGCTCCCCAGCTCCCCCCAGCCAATTCACTGCACTCCAACCTCTGCAGTGACTCCTTGGGCACAATTTCAAGACCTCCAATGACATTTAGGAGAGGAGATAAAAATTTTGTTCCAGCTTTCCCTCCAAGCAGCTCCTGCCTAATTACTCCTGCAGGAGAGATCAGGAGCCTCTCCTGAGCACTGGAGCACTGAACATCTCTGGGCTGTGCCTCTGCCAAGTGCTGTACCTTGAACAATTGCAATTTGTCCTCTGCGTGGCTTCAACAAAATCCCAGGATGCCACCTTGTCAGCTGTCTCCTCCTCACACAGGCCATTTGATGTAGCAGAATATTTCCTCCTAGGATTCAATACCAGGAGAGTTATTTGGGAGCAACATATGTTCTTCTCTTATCTTCTGGCAAAGCTCAAGAGCAGTTTGGTGACAAGGGATTCAACAAAGAAAGGATAAATTGCCTTTTCCTGACATATTCAACTGAGAACTAAGTAAATCATTCCTGAATAGTTAGGGAAAATGAACTTCTTTAGAAATGGTTTATTAGAAGAGTAAAGTACATTGCAGCAGCAGTCACAGCACCCTTAACAGAACTAATTGCAACAAGGGACACACAGAATATTGGTATTTTTGGCTTCAGAGGTAAATACATACTTGTTCTGTGCTCTGTTCATGTTGCACTCTTGCCAGACTCTGTCCACCACTTGGTTGGCCAATTTTCTGGGGATTTTGCCACCGTGATGGCTGGTACTGTCTGAGATAAATCCATCTGAAACTGAGGAAAACTTCACCCATTTCTGGGCAGACTGAGCATCAACTGGAAAGCAGCACCAGAGGAAACAGATTCAGGCAGTGAGACAATGCAGTGTCTATCACTCCAGTTCAATTAACCAGAGAAAGAAAAGTGACTTCTCCACTCAGTGTTAGGAAATAGAAACACACAGAAAATTTAGGAATAGTAGCAGATTATTATAGGAGATTTTTAAAAGCACCATATATGTTTATGTTGTAAGTAGGCTAAATATTCTTTATCTTTGATGAAAGTGACCTGAAATAAAACACAACTTGAGCAAAGTCAAGATTATGATTAAAAAACAGGGTCAGGCTTGGGTAACAGAAGATCATGGAAGGAAAAAAGAAGCAACACTTCTTCTGCACAACAAAACTTATGTAAATGTCACCTGAAACTATCAGTGAGTGTCACCTGCTGTGACCTAAATCAGCTCCCCAGAAGCCCTGCTCACACCCAGGGCAGAGGGCACAGAGCCTGATTGGAAACCAAACCAATCTCCAGCCAATCTTCCTGGGCTGGAGAAAACAGCACCTGTCACTGATGACTGAGGGCACAGTGGGGTTATGGGGCTGTGTCAGAACACAGGCATGCCCACAGAGGGGCAAAAGCCCCAAAAACCTCCCCAGAGCAACCCAAAGTACTGGTACCAACCCCAAGCACAACAGCAGCTCTGGTTCCAGCAGCTCACAGCAGAGTTTGAGTTCATTTTGCCCACAGCTGGTGCCATCAGTTTTATTACAACAAACTTAGGACTAGAGAAATGTGATTTCCCCCCCAAGCCAGCTGCATACAGAGCCCCTGAATCCCCTCAGACTCTGTTAGAAGTTTGTTAGAAGAAACCATGGGAACAATTCCCTGGTGCAGAACCCAATTCCGTCCCACCTGTCTGAACCTCCTCTGGGGACGTGGGTGGCGTCAGGGTGACGGAGGACATGGCAGGGTCTCTGGTGGAAGCAGGCACTTGGTGGACCCCCAGGCAGGCAGTGGAGCAGTGGGGAGCCCCCCCAGAGCTGGGAGCAGGGATGTCAGTCTGAGGGACCAGCACGAAGCACGCAGGGTACACCATCCTCACTCCAGCTGCAAGAGAGGGCAGCGCACACCTGGTTACACCCAGAGCCACCAAATCAGCATTTCAGAGCAACCCCTGGGCTCACAGACCCTTCCCACCCACTGCAGCATCTCCTTGGACAGAAACCATCTGTTGGCACCTCCATCATTACTTGATTTGCTTCATTCATACAGAAGATTTGCCCATGCTTTTTATTCACACAGAAGATTTGCCCAAATTTTCTGTATGAATAAAAAGGGTTTTGTACAGGCAGAGACATCCACGTGCTGCTACCTGCTTCTGTCATTTTGTTTTATAAAAGCTGCAAAAATCCTTTTCAGGATCATGTAGCACTGCCAGCATCCCCAGCAGCACGAGGGTCTCCAGCCATCACTGCACTACGAGCTCCTCACAGAGCAGGGATTGCATTTGCTGGCAAATCAAAGGTCCCCAGCCCACAGCAGAACAATCCCCTGCACCCAGGGGCTGGGGTTTTGGGGAAACAGCAGAGAAAAGCAGGGCCTGAGTACATCAGGTTCTCCAGGGCTGTGGTTTTGAAGACATCCCTGAAAGGCAAACCTGCTCTGTGTGAATTTGCAGGGACTCTGAAACAGCACAAGCTGCTTTTGATTCAGCTCAGATGTCAACAGTGATCATCCAGGGCTTTTTTTACTCTCTTACTTTATTTTTTTTTTTAAATCTTCCCTCCCAGGGCACATAAGAACAGGACCTCCCACTAATGGCTCTGCAAAATCCACTCTGAGCAGCAACCCATCATAGACAGTGCTGAGCATCAAACAGGAAAACCAAACCCAGCAACCATTGCTGCAAAGGAATAATATGGGGTCACTCCTGCATTCAGAATTTTGCAGGTTTATCCAGCCAGTTTATTTCAGTAATTAAAGGTAATCAGGCTCACCAACAAGGACTTCAACAGCAGCTAAAGAATCATCCTCCCAGTCCATTTCTTCTTGTTTCTCCTCAGATCCCTCCTTCAAGTTGGATGTGACAGGGTAGAATTGCTTCCACTCCCCAATCAGCTTCTTTGTGGATGAATCAGAAAGCTTGAAGGACTGCCCTGTGAGTGTGCCATTCAACCCAAAGGGGCTCAGGATAACTGAAACAGAGATAAAAACCCATTGGAGATGGCATTCCCCCCAAATTCCCTCCTCCCCTCTGCAGCAGCAGCACTCTTATTTCAGCCACACCAAATAAACAATTTACCACTGGTAATTTACAATTTACCACTGGTAAGTCAAAATGCAGCCTAATGATGATTTACTGCCCAAGCTTTTAGCAATAGGTTCCCATTATTAAATTCAGAGGTGCTGCAAGAACTGAGGAACCACAATAACAACTACAGATTAATCCATTCAAACAAGCAGCAGGCAAATTTTCATTGGGCTTGCAAGGAGTCTCAGGTACAGGTGGGATAAAGAAACACTTCCAGATCCTGGCAGAGTTGAGGTGTTTCCTCATCCTTCCATTCTGGTTACAACAACAGGGAATGCAGAGGGAATCCTCTGCTTCATGTTTAGTCTTGTCCATAGTGGGGAAGCACAGCTGCTGTTAAGTTGCATTCAGAAAAAAAAGCAAGTTTGGACACTGAGCAGTGCTGAAGGAGTGAGGCCATGCAGGGAGGGATCACACAGCCCCACTGACCAGACTCAGGCCCCAGCACTCCTCTGTCTTCCAGAGCACAGCCTGCATCTGCTGGGGGAACCACAGGCATTTACAGGCAAGGAAGAGCCAAGGGAAAGGGTGGGAATGGGTTAAGTACACTGAGGAACAGGTTAAACCCAGAAATGGATGTCTCAGAGGGGGTTGGTGAAGGTATCTGGGGCTTACAAGGTTGAAACAACAAAATACTGAAGTCACCAAAATGACAGCACTTGGGAAGGGTGTGATGAGGACAAATGACTCAATTACACACCAAGAGATGAATATGCAAATGTTGCACCTGCAAATGCAGCAGGGCCAGGACACAGCACCTGGCAGTGAGCACAGGGCACAGCTGGGCACAGCTGGGCACAGCTGGGCAGCTCTGCCCCCACTGCCAGCCTGGGCAGGCCCCCAGGGAGGCCCAGGGGAGGAGTGCAGGTGGCAGAGGCAGCAATCCCACCTTGGAAGGGGCTGTTGGACTGCTGGGCCAGGGTGAGGTGCTCCTCGCTGAGCAGGTACACGGGCTGGTGCTGGCTGATCTCCACGCTCGTGCACACGTTGCTGTCCCCGTGCAGGAAGAAGGTGAACGAGCAGGACAAGTGCTCACTGCAAAGGCAACAGCAGAAAAGAAGGCTGAAGTACACAATTTCTATGAGTTGGTCTCTGTTTCAGCAGTTTTCAGGCATTTCCTCACAATATATTCATTAATGGAAGTAGCCAAAACACCCTTCTACATTCACCCTTCTATGTTCCCTTTACAAACCCAAAGAAATATCAGCTAGAAAACAACAGGCACTAAGTTTTCCATTTCTTCAGTCTGACACTTTATATTTTGCTGTCTTGAGGAAATTTAAACCATAATTTTTTACAAGACAAAAACCTGTAATTTAATATTTTTATACCTTATGCATTTATTTAAAATCTCTAGAAATACTTCTGAACATATTTTATTTTTAATGAGGTCATTTCTAGGTTGTCCTGTCACAGCTTCACTAAGCAGAATTTAATATCAGACAACAAGTCACTTTTTTAAGAGCAAGAAGAATGGCAACAGCTTTTAGAAGTGGTTTTGTTTTGTTATTTAAATTGAATCTTATCTTCGTGTTCTTGAAGCCAATCAAGTAACTAAAAATGAAATCCCATACCTACACACAAAAGGGAAGATACAATCAATTAAAAAAACTGAGGCTCAAGACATTCTTAATTAAAGTCATTAAGGCAAGTGTCAATGTTTAATAGCAGATGCTTCACTGACAGCTTCTCTCATGGTCCTGAGTTTTAGGGGATAAAAACCCAACAGGTTTGAACAGCACAAAACTCCAACAATGAACATTTCTCTCCCTACACCTCTGATTTCAATGCTGTTTCCCAGTGCTGTGCAGTTATTAGTGAGCAACTCCACAAGATCACTCTGCAGAGAATTTCTCATTTTTGGGGCCCTGCTCTGTGTTGCTGTCACGAAACCACAGCTGACCCCTGCAAGGACAACCAGGAAAACATTTCATCTTACATCCACATCAGCTCCATGGTTTATATGAAATATATTTCACCAATTTTAATTAAAGGGCAGCAAGAAAGGAAGGCAAAACCAAGCAGATCCCTGCTACAAGTGGCACATCCTTATACCAACCTGGAAAACTTTTTATTTCCCCCCTTTTAAAGAAGCTCAACAGGCACAACATTTCCCAGTTGTAGTGGTACAAGTTATCCCAATGTCTGCCAGACTGATGCTCTCCAGCAGGAGAACAGCAGATGTTTAAAGCAGGAGATGCTGCTCGTTTGGACATTAAATGAGGTCCAACATCATGGCCAGAGAAGGACCAAGGTCAAGGAGAACCTCAGAAGAACTTCATGAAGTGCTGGTGAGAAACAAATCTTCCTTTGTAAGGAGGGAGCAGCAAAACCTTGCTCAACCTCAGGGAAAAGGGATCAAGGCACAGCAAACACTGATTTTAGTCAGTCAGAACAGCAGATTCTGGGGAGGATTTCTGCAAAACCCAATGGAAAAGACACTCCATGAATTACTGCAGCCTGGAAAGGAATATAACATCTCTGTGTCCCAAAATCACATCTGATCCCACAGCCAGAGCCCAGCATGGCAATGGAGGCTCTGGGACATCCCTGTTCCTTGGGCTAAAACCAGTCTGGCATTCCTGGAGAGGCACAAACAGCTCCAGAGGCACCAGAACAACCCCAAAAACCCAACCTGCACAGCTGCAGGGGCTGGGACACCTCCAGTGCCATTGCCAAGGTGTTGCTTTCCCAGAGGGAAATGATGGGATGGGGAATAGCAAGGGGAATGAAAAGTTTCTGGAAGTGGCACAGTCCATTCACTCCATGGAAATGGAAATGGAAATGGAAATGGAAATGGAAATGGAAATGGAAATGGAAATGGGCTGTTCACCCTCAGTCAGGGAGGAGAAAGGTGGAACAGTGACAAAAACAAAACAGATTTAAAACTGAGGACCAAAAGCATCCAAAAAGGATGAGAGAAGCCTCAGAGTGCTCAGGAGGAGCAGAACAGCTCCATTTTTATTGCAGCACCTTAAAGAGGAGCTGCAGTGACCCCACTGAGGAGCTGCTCTGAGGGAGAACAGTTCTCAGGGTTTAATTGTGTTCTAGGGGCAAAAAAGGCAAGATCTGGATGAATTATGAACTGCTTTAACCCACACTGCTCAGGAGTGCCAGGAAGGTTCCATTTAAAAATGCACTGAGGATGGAGCTGAGCATCTTGGTGATGCCTACAAAACACACCACTGAATTCCAGTATGGAAATCTGATTAAACTGCAATCCTTATGCAAATGGTGGAAGACTGATTTTCCAAGTGAATTTTATTTCCCCAACCATATTGGATGTTTTGGGGTGAAGGAGGTGGCAGTGCCTTCGTTCCCTGACACAGACACGATTCAGAAGCTCAGTATCAGCGAGATAAAACTTCAAAATAAAAGCACATATTCCCTATATACACTTTAAATGCAATTAAGCTTCACCTCTTGTAAACAGCCCATTGTTAGCCAGATAAAGGGCAAACAATCACGGCATAATCTGATGGAATTCAGATAAACCAAGACAAAGGGAGGCATCAGCATGATAACAGAAGCATTTCAATTCATCACTGCAAAACCAGTCCTAAGGAGGAGCAAGGAAAACTCAAGGTCACCATGCAAAAGCCAAATCCAAAAATCCAAACAAGAAAAAAGAGCCCAAATCAGATTTCTCTTCTCCCCCAACTCAGCAGGGGAGAGGATTCCAACCAAATAATCCAGGGAGAGAGCACCCAGTGCTGCAGTGCCATTGTTCCCAGCTCTGCCTCCATGGCACAGAGAGCATCCACTGCCACAATTCAGCCTGGAAAACCCAAATTTCACCCAATTTCCACTAATCCTGGCTATAAATGTAAGTGTGAAACAGCAGAACAATGCCCAGCACCGGGGGGGTTCTCTCAGAGGTGCAGCAGAGTTGTGGCCAGGAGGATAATGTGTTTCACAGGAGAAATACACAGTAAAAAAAGGAGGCTGGAAAGTCGGGATAAGGGAACAGATCCCAGCCGGGACACAAAGTATCCCTGGAAGGGCTTTAAACAAAGCAAACCTGAAAGGCAAAATTGACACTTCATGGACCCAAATGCACTTTGGTTCTTGTGAGCCAGCAGCTCAGAAACTGCTTCCCCACACTGAAATTATTCAGGTTACAGAACTTAAGAAACAGCAATGCATGTGGAAATAATCACAAGAAATACAAATAAAGAATTCTAATTAAACCAGAAAAAAAAAAAAAATCAAAACCACAGGGAAGCTCTTTGGAGGGAGTGGAGAAAAGGAGGAAGGAACACGAAGAACCAGAGCTCTGCAGGACTGGATGCCCCCACACAAATTATTGTATGGGCTTAGAAACTCTACAAACATGCAGGCTTTTTATTATTGTTTTGTTTCAATTAATGCATTTGAACATCCTGCAATTCTTTAAGTTTCTAGAGCCTGGCTGCCAGTGAACAACCTCAGCTTGGGAGGAATATTACAAACTTTACCATAATCTAATTAAAAAAAAAAAAAGAAAGAAAAAAAAAAAAGAAAGAAAAAGAAAAAAAAGGAAAAAAGGAGGAAAGGGGGAAAAAGGGGGGAAAAGGGAAAAAAAAAGGGGGGGAAAAGGGAAAAAAGGGAAAAAAGGGGAAAAAAAGGAAAAGAAAGGGGAAAAAAGGGAAAAAAGGGGAAAAAAGGGAAAAGGGGGGAAAAAGGGAAAAAATAAAAAAAGGAAAAAAGGGAAAAAAGGGAAAGAAAAAGAAAAAAGGAAAAAAAGGAAAAAGAAAAAAGGAAGGAAAAAGGAAAAGGGGAAAAAAGGGGAAAATAAAAGAAAAAAAAAGGAAAGAAAGGGGAAAAAAGGAAAAAAGGGAAAAAAAAGAAAAAAAAGGAAAAAAAAGGAAGAAAAGGAAGAAAAGGAAGAAAAGGAAGAAAAGGAAGAAGAAAAGAAAAAAGGAAAAAGAAAGGAAAAAAGGAAAAAGGGGGGGGAAGGGGGAAAGGTGGATATATTTATTTATTTATTTATTTATTTATTTTCTCCACCATTTTTTAAGTGGCCCTCTAATCTTCTCAATAACTCACCTCACAGCCAAAAATCCCAATCAAGCACAAAGTCTGCCACGTAGCACTTGGGGGTAAATAGGCAAATTATCTTTACAATTCAGTCAAGGACACAGTAACAGAACCAGGCTGGTGGTTTCCTGCCTGCTAACAGAGAGTTCATCCTATTTTTATTTGCAGACTATTTTAGGTAGCTCAGATCACTGGTAATTTGTGCAGAGCATCTCACCACTGAAATATGGAAAAAAAAATCCCGACACCTCAACACTTAGAAATTTTATTCTGCATGAGGAGAGAATCAGTGACATCCTTAAGGTCAGATACAGAATAAAAAAATCTGATGCTCAAGTCAGCACTGATCACCTCTCTTTTTAGTACTTCTACCATCAGGTATTGTTGAACATACTTTTATTCTGAAAGTTCTGAAAACAAAATCCAAAAAAACCCTTTTTGTCTTATTCTGAACATCAAGTTGCTCCATTGCAGGCAATCTGTATTTCTAATTAATTTCATTGAAGTCCCAATCACAGAATTTAGGTATCAATAATCCAATTCCCAGCTGATTTCTGAGCAGAGATATGAATGGCCATCAGAACAAGGATTCTTTATGACTTTTGATCTGAACACACCAGAATTCAATTAGCTTGAAGTCCAATCCTGAAAGCAACTTTAAAAACAAATAAAAATAAAGTAAGAAAGAGACTCCTTGGGAATAATGCTATTTGAAGCAACCTTCAGTCCTCATCTACACTCCATTAAAATACATTTGTGTAAAACCATTTGATTCCCCCATGCTCCCTCTTCTCTCCAATCACACAAACCAAAAATGTTTTCCTTTCAGAGACAAAGGATTATGATTTTATGGGGGGAAAAAAGAGGAACTGCTGTGGACAAATCCAATACAATTTCTACCTTTTTAAGAATAACTGAAGGGTAGGAGGGGAAACCACACTAAAATCCACATCTACAGGAGGTTTCCATTAGCAAATCTGAAACTATCTCCTTGATAAAAAGGTAATTAGGGCTGG